TAGTAGACAGTGCTTCGTGGACATCGTCATGCTGTAGTTGCTTTCAACCTGCGCTTTGACGACGCGTACCTGTCCGAGGAGTGTTCGGTGTAGTCGCTCAACACTTCCTTGACTGTTGCTGCTGTAGGAGGGTGCGTGCCTAACAGTCATTGAGCCGACTTTTGCTGCTGTAGTTTGTAGAAGTGCATTGAGTGTGTCTTCGTTGCCGCTTTGTAGTATGCCTTGTGTTCTTCTGCACTCAAAAATGAATGCTTGTAGGTTGTTGACCATGTATTCCATCATTGATGGTTTGTCCGGGACCATTACTGCCATACACAGTTGTGTAGTAACATCAACTGCGGTCAGTGCTGGTATGGTCTTTAAGTCTTGTTGTGATTTGATGTAATGTTGGACCTCCTTTATTGTTGGTCCTCGCTATTGTAGAAATTTTTTCCTAATTCAGAATCCTGTGACTGTTTTAACGGTTCGCTTTTGTGGCAAGTTTTTTTGCCCCCCAGAAAAATCTAACAAAAACGCATAGCTTCTTTCTTCGCTTTCTGGATTTGCTCGGGCTCAGGCTAAACTTGCTAAGCCTTGGTAGCTCCTGTTGAGCTGGAGGCTGGTTCTGAGCTAGAATTGGGAAATTGTTTTCTTGACGTGGTCCCCAAACCATCAAATTTAAGATAACTTCTTTACAAAAAAGTGCGGGCAAACAGTCACACAAAGGGGGGTGCCCACAAGAGGCCCAGATCCTCTTTAATGCGATTGTTTTGGGGTCCTCGGGGTTGCTGAAAACTGAAAACCGAAGCCTCAGCCTTTTACTTTTAAAGAAGGGGGCTCATCCTAAGCTCTCCCCAGCTCAAAGGTTAAAGGCCTGAGATCTAGGAAATCGATTTTGCAAGTTGTTCCCAAACCATCAAATTTAAGATAACTTCTTTACAAAAAAGTGCGGGCAAACAGTCGCACAAAGGGGGGTGCCCACAAGAGGCCCAGATCCTCTTTAATGCGACTGTTTTGGGGTCCTCTTTAGTGTCCAACTGGTTTCGGGGGTTGCTGAAAAAACGACCCTTGGCAATACTAAAGTAGACTTGGCAATACTAAAGTAGAATTGGCAATGCTAGAGTAAGTACTGGGGATCTGAGAGTCAGCCTTGGCAATACTAAAGTAGAACTGGCAATGCTAAAGTCAGCACTGGGAATCTGAGAGGGGGCCTTGGCAATACTAAAGTAGAATTGGCAATACTAAAGTCAGCACTGGGAATCTGAGAGGGGGCCTTGGCAATACTAAAGTAGAATTGGCAATACTAAAGTCAGTACTGGGAATCTGAGAGGGGGCCTTGGCAATACTAAAGTAGAATTGGCAATACTAAAGTAAGTACTGTCCCTCCCAGATCCCCCAGGATCTCCCTAAAGAGAGTCCCGCCGACTGGTTCCACTGTTTCGGGGGGGGGGGGGGGGGGGGTCACACTAAACAGAGTCCAACATTAAGCGAAGTCTACTTGAATGACGGGTTGTCGTGATTGTTGTTTCTTGTAGTTGTCTTGGCGTCCTTTGCCTTGAACGCAAATTGGACACCAGTTTCTGTATGGTCGGTGTGTAAGATTGTTTTCTGCTATTTGTTGTGGAGTTGGCTGCCGTGGTTGTCGTAGTCCTCTTGCTCTGTGTGCTTCATGATGCTCGTGTTGTTGTTCCTCATCGTGGTTCTCCTGGATGTACTTGCAGCCTTTCTTCACGGTGAACCTTGTTGTTCCTTTCCATTGAAATGGTATTGCTGCGTTGCCCATGACTGTCCAGTCATCTTTGCGTTGTGAAACTTCTCCAAAGTTGTTGTGAGTGATTGTAGTTCTGTGAGGCTCAAGTGTGCTGATTGGTGGATGTCCTGGTCCATCTGTTGGAGTGAAAAGAATTGTTCTAAGTGTTGTGTGGTTTCTTATCCAGCGTTCACCTTGTCTTTCCCAGTGGTCTTGGTTGTCCTCCTGTGCTGTGAGTGGTCTGTGGATTGTCTCCTTTGGTTGTGTGGTGTCGAGATCTGTTGAAGGTGCTGCTTTAGGTCTCCATATCTATTGTGGTGCTCGTAGTTGTATCTTTGATCTGGTTGGTGGTGTGTCCATTAGCCGTTGTGGTTGTGAGCTCTGCCTTATTGGTGTGGTCTTTGATGTTGCTCTGCGTGTAGGTGTTATCTTTCTTCTGAACCTGGTTTCTCCAGTCCAGTTGTCACCTTCGAGTCTTCGTTGTAGTTCTTGCGTGGAAAGTTGTGTTGGGCTCTCTTGTATTTGTTCTTGCTCTTGCCCTTGTCCGTTGATGATGGCTAGTCGCCAATCATCTAGTTCTCCTTCTGGTATTGGGCAACCACTGTTGTGTGGTGTAAACAATGCTTTGCGTGGTCGTTTGTGGACTCTGATGGCGTAGCAACCATCAAGTTTCCAGTAGTCAGTGTCTCCACCAAGGATCTGTCGCAGTCCTTGGTCTGTGTGGGTGAGTGGTGCCATTTGTTCTTGTTGTTGTGTTGCTTTCTCTGTAGGTTGAATCACAGCAATGGATTTTCCATTGTCTGTAGTCATTGGGTAGATGTCGAATCCTGTAGGGATGTCGATCTTCTCTGCTCGTAGGTAGAAAAGTCCTGAGTGTCTTATGAGGTGCGCTTGTTGTTGTCCATGTGTGATGGTGCAGTGTCGTGGATTGAAGTCGAGTCCATATCCTCTATCAAGTAGTCTTGATGCACTGAGGATTGGATACTTCACATCACAAACGTAGTAGGGTATCATGATCCTGAACTTGTCCAGCTTGTAGGGAACATACTTGATGCCGTAGACAGGAATCTTCTTGTTGGTAACCGTGTAGAGTTGTGGAACTGATTCTCCACAAGGTCGTAGCGGTAGGTCTGGCGCGTAGTCCTTCGGGCAAACATGTGTAGATGCTCCTGAGTCGATCAACAGGTGGTGGTATGACTTGAAGTTGGAGTACATGATGTAGTGTGTGATGGTGTCCTCAATCTTCTTGTTCCTTTGCTGTTGTGTGTTGCTGCTGCTATATCGAAGTGTAGCTGTGTGGTGTCTTCTTGGAGGAATTGTTGAAAGCTCTTGCTGTGATCGTTCCATGATGTGTGTGTGTGCTGTTTTCTTGCCAAGTAGTGATTTGGATTTGTGCATGTGTAGTAGTGACTTTGCTTGCCTGATGTGTCCAATGGTGAGGTGTGACTCGCTGATGCCTCCAATGTAGTTTGCTGTGTCTTCGTAGCTGCTGTCATTCCAATCCCAGCTGCTGTCATAGTCGTAGTCGTTCCAGTTCTCCTCCATGAAGCTTATCTCGCGTTGTCCTTCTTCTCGATCGTAGTACCAGTCCCAGGCGTCGTTCACATCCTGAGGTAGTTCTTCATTGTTGTCCTGATCTGCTTGTTCTTGTTCTAGTGGATGTAGTTCTTCTCTTTCTCCCATGTGCCATACTGGCACGCTGCAGTCCTGTGCCCAATGGCCAGGCTTGCCACATCGGTGGCATGTCGTGTAGTTGTTGCTTCCTTTTCCTTTTGCTTTGCTGTAGTTTCCTTGGCCATTGTAGCCCTTGCTTGATCCCTATCCTTTGGATCCTGAGTAGCCTTTTCCTTTGCTCTTGTTGTATCCTGCTTTGTTGTAGCTTCCTTTGTCGCCTTTGTCGAATCCCTTGTAGTGTCCTTTGCTTCTGTACTTGCCTTTGCTTTTGCTTCCTTTGTAGTTGCCTTTGCCTTTGCCTTTGCCTTTGTAGTTTCTTCCTTTCCTCCATATGTTGTCAACATCCATGTGTGCAGCTCCTCCATTGTAGTTTGTGCCTGCTGCTGAAGTCGATCGCGAGAAGGCTGAAATCGTCTTGTAGTAGTCCAGGATGACTGCTCTGATCTCGAAGTAGTTCGTGATCTGTCAAGCTCGCAGTTGGAGATGTTGCTGCAGTGCTCCTTTGGTCTTGTTGAGTAGCATTGCTATTTTAGTTCCATCTGGTAGTGCTGTGCCGTTGTCTTTCTCGTAGCGGTTGATGTCGTATTCCCATTGTAGGAATTGCTCTTCAAACTGCGCTTCATTGAATGTAGATTCCAGTAGTTTGGTAAGGTAGCCAACTCTTCTTGTTCCTACTGGTAGGCTGCACCTGTTGTGTAGGAGTCGCAGTGTTTCACATCCATTTGCATTGTAGCGGTTTTGCCTTACTACTGTAGCTGCTGCTCCCTGACAGATGTTGATGAGGATGTAGTGTAGATCTCTGGAGAGGTCTACTGCTTTGCTTGCTTGTGTAGGGTCGAGTATGTGTGTTCTGATGTCTGTGTCCTCAATCTGTCGTGTAGCCACTTGTGCTAGTTGTAGCACCAGGTCGAAGTCTCGGTCTATGAGGCCGAGGTATGCTTGTAGTTTGAACACCCATTCTTCATACTGGGAGTAGTCACCAGTGAAGAAGGGTGGTGGCAGTTTGTATCGATGTAGTCTCTGAACGTCGTTGTCTTGTTCTGTTCCTGTTCCCGTAGTCGTGGCTCCTACTGTGTCTGCTGTTGGCCCGTTCTCTGCTCCTGTAGTTTGTTGCGCTGAGGCTGATGCCGCTTCTCCTGACATGTCGTAGTAGTTTGGCATGTGATTGCTGTTGCAGCGGTTGTAGTACTTACTGCTGAGTACTGGAGCTCCCCTATGTTTAGGATCTCAGCTCCGCTACCACGATAAAATTGGTCCTTACTGTTGTTACACGTGCAAGTGCTGTAGTGTTCAAACACACAGTCAACCAATGTAGTCTGCAGCTGCCAACCTTTTGACTCATGCGATGTAGTGAGCTCAAGGCCTGCAGTAGTGAACATACACGCAACACAAGTGCAGGAAGAAGCATGTAGTTTCGACATCTCTCGCGCTCTCTCTCTCTCTCTCTCGCGCTCTCTCTCTCTCTCTCTCTCTCTCTCTTTTTAGGGCCCCTCCAAAATAGTTGGTGTTCCCTCTTCGTTTGCCTTTAAGACCACAAAAAAGGGCACCCATGTGAGCCACGTGCCAGGCTTTCTTTCGGGCCTTTGGGACACCCCGCCTCTGATCCATGCATGCCCGCACATAGTTGGCAAAGGCGGCCCACACCTGGCCGGAGCTTCACAAGGTTGGTGGCAACCAATTGCTCTACTCTGATCCCAATTGCCCTACCCTCCCAATTAACATGGAACCTGACGTTTGGGGAGGAAGACCATGTTCCTTTTAAAGGGACCCCCTTGTCAGGTTCCATCCTTTTTTTGGGAAGGTACCCCAAAAACCCTCAAATGTGAGGCAGCGCTCATGTCACCCCAATTGACTCTTCGATCTAACTGCATGGTTTTATAGGTCCGCATAGACCTGAAACCCTGTCATCAACCCCACGCAACGCAGGATCGAACAAATTCACGCCTCGTGGTAGTCCTGGACGGAATCGGCACCCTCCTGGCTCGCTCTGCGGCCCGGAAGAAGGATCTGTCGGTTCAGTTTCACTGGGAAGGATGGCACGAGCAAAACAATGGTTCCACACTTGGCTGTGGGTCAAAATTAGACCAGGGGACCGTAGATTTTAGTCAATGTTTCCTCAGGGTTCAATGTTGGGTACCTTTTTTTGACCCACAGCCACTTGATACTCTCTGCTGAATCATTCGGTTGACCACGCGAGGAATGGAGCGTTTACCTCCGGTTGCCAAATGTATGTGGGTCAAAAGGGGCCATCATTGGAGACGCGGTTTGTCAAAGAAGGGCTTCAAAATAACCTGCCAACAAACAAGCAAACACCAAGAGCCAGGCAAACTGACGCCCCCAGCCACAGCAGCTGGCTCGTTTTTAGGTTTTCTGCTTATATGGAACCTCCCCAATGGTCTGCAAGATTTGCTGGTCCAAAATGACTGTCTCGGGCAAAACATGACCTCACTGAGTTCAAGTGGTTGGATACCTCTCCCAGGTCGAAACGGGCACCCCGCGGGGCGTTTCTGTTGCAACCTCCGAGTCACCGAAGCTCGTCACCGCTCGAGCGAACAGCATCCCTCGCGGGCCCAGTGAAGTTCTATGCAACTCTCAACCACAGCTCGAAGGCAAAGCTGCGCAATGAGCCAACCATTCTTTACGCTAGATTCTCTGAACGTTGCAACCAGTTCAGTGGTACCCAAAAGTTTGGACTTCTTTGACCAATCCACTCAAGGATTCATCCCTTTGGCACAGGTTGTTGTTTCCCCTGTTGTAGGGGTATCCCAGTACACATTACGAATTTGAATACGTTAAGCAGGGCAAGAAATGCTCGGGACTCTGCGGGGTTGGTTCAGGTGACGTCCCCTTAAAATGGGACATGGCCATGTTTGAAGGCAGTGGCTTCTTGCTCGTGGCTTTTGAGCATGCTCCTTTCAAGTGATTTGCTTGGCATGCTGAACCTTAGCTGCACCGACATCACCCCCTGCCAATCCAATCGGCAGCGTACAAGTTCGGCACTTGGTAGCTGAATTGGGGCATCCCTTTGAATTGGCATCACATCGCAGCACTTTGCCATAGCATTCTTGCACCCACAAAGGATGTTGATCGACACCCATGCTTGCCATGGTCAAATGCTTGGTTCATTTGGGCACATCGAACTCACGAGGAAGGGATATTACATATTACATATTCCCTCCAAAACGGGCAAACGTGTTCTTACCCTGAACCTTGTCATGAGGCGGGGTACGTTTGCTGTTGCAGGATCAACCTTGTATACCTGTCGAGGCAATTAATGCCTTTGGTCCCCCGAGACCAGGTGTTTGGGGCATGAGCTAAAGGCACAACAAGAGAAGGGAAAGAACCCTTGTCGTGTTTTTTGTTGGGGGGGGGGAATGTAAAACTGGGTGGTTTCTTCGCCCCTTGAAGAAAGCTGTTTGTCAGCTTGGTATACCAAAGAACGCCCCAGTTTCCCAAAAAGCAAAAGGTTACAGGGCGAACTAAAGAATCCAAACCCTCGGTCCTTGGTACCGAGCTTGCCACGTCTCTGAATGATGTCTTGCACCAGTGCATCAAAGGTGAGCATCTGCGGGCTGCACCGGTTGAGGATGACATGCCACATATGTTGACTTTGTCCCTCTTGAGCAGGGGCATTCACACCTGCAACCTGAACAACATGTTTTCTGCACACCTTCATGTAGGTTTCCCTACAGAAGAGGCCATAGACTGCTTGTCAAAACCCCCAGAAGGTACCTTCTGCAGAAGGGAAAGCCAACCACCAAAACAGTCCATCATTCTTGGGGATGAGAATTTCCAGCTAGATTTGGCTTTCGCCCCAGTCATGACAGGTGCCACTCTGGCAGGTTGTATTTACGTGAGCGACGGGGCCGTCTTGAGAATCTGGCTTGAGCAACATCTGGTGGGCTTTGACAGGACACCGCACGGCATGAAGAAGTGCAAGTTTGAAATAGCGACCGTGAGGGACCCCCAAAGAACGGGGTGATTTCCCATGACAAGCAGCTACAATCTCCCTGCAAACAAAGACCCTCCGAAAGGCAGATTTCAAGGAGGATTCCTGTGAAAGCCATCCCCACAAGGCCCCTATAGCATCGACACACATCATCTTCTGGGTTCACTACCACAATTCGCCAACAAAGGAGGGACCTCCTGAATGGTTTGCAAACCCATTCTGATTCGCCGATATATTTGCAAGACATGTCCAATTCAATGGGTCCGCCAAACTGTTAGTCTCAAAATAGGCGGACCTCCAACACACATTTTCCCCTTTCATGTCCCTTTCAACCCGAAAAAGGGGCGCCCTTACTACAAATCCCGAAACCGGCCTTGGCGGGTCTCCGGCGCAGCCCCGTTTGAGCCGGAAAGGCTTCGAGTCAATGGGTGCAGTGGCCCTCGGCTTGGCCTTTGACACTTTCCCTTCCGAAAAGGTGAGCAGCTCCAAGCATTACCCCATCTCAAAACCAGAGCTGCTGCAACCTTGGTTGAATTGTAAACATCGCAACCCTCTCAAAATAGGGAAACTTCAAATCTAGCTGGTTCCAAAGGGAAAAACGGAACCCAATCGCTTGGAGGGGTCCAACTCAATAGCACCACCCTTGACGGTGAGCTTGGCTGGAAGGGAACAAAACAATCAAAGTACCACATGGGTCTTTTTACGAGCAAGACCCACACTCATTCTGCCCCTCTCAAGTCTCATGCGGAGCTATGCAAATAGAAAGTAAGGGACACCCAAGTGAGGAAACTTCACAAGTGACTTTGGGTGAAGGTGCACCCTGTGACGTCGCTGTTCAAGTTTGCCCAAATCAAAGTACTGCTAAAATTCCGTTCCACTGAGAAGCACCGGGTCCAAGGGCAGGGCATCTGCAAAAAGAAAAACGACATGGGCCTGCCGCTTGGTAGCTGCCGTGTGTCAAGCAAAGCTTCGAAGTCTGAACAAGTTGGACATTTACCCTCCCCTTTCATCTTGTGGTTTCCTTTCGGAACAAGTAAATCATGGTCTATTTCGCCCCGGCGCTAGAGGAAACAACCGGTTTTTCAAAAACAAACGCATACTTTGCTGGCGGGTTTCCCACCGGCCATGTGTCATCTGCAATTTTTTGACACCGACCACGGCGCCCTTTTGGCCATGGGTCAAAATCCCGCACCCTCAGTGAACATCCCAATCCCCACTAAAATAGGTATGGGTGGTGCACCAACCCAAAATATGGGATCCCATTGGTTTTAACCCACAGCCTTTTGGCTGGGAGTTTCCTTCCGTCCGGGCCCTCGCCCCCTGGACCTCGGGCGCCGGCTGATGGGCAGCCTGGGCCGCCAGTTCCGCCAGGCCGCGTCCGACTTGTGGAGGCTGCCGGCCTCGGCCGCGCGCGTGCCTTCTCTTTGGCTTCCCTTTGAAACCACCAGAAAAGTGGTACCCTCAAGACGAGCCATATGGGCGGCGAATGTCTGTTGCGGCCCACCATTTTTTGTGGTGCCATATGGACCCCTTGTTCGGCCTTTGTTCTGTTGAGGATCCAAAAAGGAACCCAAATTGGACAACCCCCCACTTGTGTACAAGGTGACATCAAAATTACCAAGGTGGTTGCACGGAAAACAACCCCCAAGAGTGATTCTGACAGCACTTGGCAGTAACCCTTATGGCCTTTAAGTCAGGATCCCTGTTCAGCTTTCTTTCGGATTGCCTTTCAACATACATCTAGCCTATAATACACCTAAGTCGACAATCACCTCCCCAAACTTGGGCGCCAGGACCGGCGGAGTTAAACCGAGTGTCTTCCTCCTTGCAGCAGACTGAGTAATGGTAATTTGGTGAATCCTGCGCATCTGCTTACCGTCGTGGAATACAAATATATGGCTGTGGCTCAACAAAGTGGTATGCCAAAATGGCCCCTTGACCAACGGAGCCAGAGACTAAAACCTGCGGATTGCCCTGCCATATACTTACCCCTTAAAACTCCAAGCCCTGGGGAAGTTAATCTTTTACAGACATATAGCCCATGTTACCCAAAAAGTTCAAAAGTTGTGTTTTTAAGAGGTAAGTATAGGACCCACTTTCGGCGTGTCCCTTCTTCCCCTGAACTCCCGGGCCGCTGCCAAGGCTCCGCTGGACTTTGCCCTCACCAAATGGAAAACGATAACCTACCTGGAGTATGTCCTGAAAAGGAGGCTACTTCGTCTACCCACAGGAGAATAGAGGGGCATATCTATTTTTTCAGGAAACCCCCAACATGGGCTTCCCTTTTTAGACCAGGGTACCCTAAAAAAACACGCACCCCTAGAATTCATCCACCTACTTCGTTGGGTTTGGAGGTTCAGGTCTCAGCGCCACTCGCGCCTGCGGCGCCTCCTCCGTGATCTGGGCCCTTTGGGACCAGAAGAAGGGCAGGTGCACCATGGGCCTCAAACTCCCAAGTTGCTCCCAAGGCCCCAGCGGTAGGGCGGAAGCCCAGTGGTTGGAGGGGGCGGATAGGCGGGGGATACTCATCCCTCCACCTGGCTTGAGAAGGAAAAAGCCAAAGAAGAGCAGCAGCTGTCACGGAAATTGCCGCAAGTCTGATGCTATTTGTTGCTTCTGTGGGAGGGGAGAACCGAACAGGAACGGAGCCAAGGAAGCTTTGTGGGGGTGATCACTGCCAGCGTTTTGTTGGGCTTCTGTCGTGGCCTCCGCCCGAAACGTACTTTATCAGGCAAGCCGCATCTGACGGAAGGGCACTCCCGTCTTTTTTCGGGGATTTCGTAGCATTCCTTTCCTGGGCAGCTATCCATCTCAGCGATGTGTGTGCGGTGTGAGCTTAGGGTGGAGGTTGGGTCAGCTTGGGCTTTGAAGCCTCTGCCACTTGTGGGCCCGGAAACAAGAGCTTGATCTTTGGGAAGGTCAAAACTAAAGCATTCTCAGAGCCTTCTGCTCGCGATGGGCAAATTCTTTGGACTCAACCATTTCAAGCGCAAATCTTGAGGGGCGACTGTACTGGAAAGAGCAAAGCCCTGGCGCGGGTATGAGATGGAAACACGCAAATCCAAGAAACACTTTCAGCGGCACCTTGGAGACCTTGATCTAAAATGTGCATGCTGCCGGCTCCGCTTGGGATGATGCCATCCACGCTCGTCAATGTGCACGCAGCGCCTTGGCCACAGAACTGCAAGAAGCGGCCAACGGGGCTTAGCACGGGCTTTGCCAAGAGACGGCGTTCCTTCCGGGTTCCCAGAAACCAAACCCAAAAAGGGCAACTCCGAAAACGCAAAAATCCATGAGGTGTCCCTTTACCCAAGCGCAACAGCAAGAAAAGTACGTGGAACTCATCGGACCTCCCTTCTTGACATTTGCTAGCTCCTCCTCGGAATCACCAGCCTCTTTTTGGAGATGTCAAGCCCTGACATGAAAAGGATGCATCTACCTTTGCAAACCTGGTTTGCAGGAAAAGCAACCTTAACAAAAACACCTCGACATGTGTTAATATGGTTAGAATGAATCTGCACATCTCCAACGGCCAAGTCGAAACACAAATACCAAGAGGCCCATCCGGACCTCCGTGCCCTCCCGCCCCTGTAAAGACTGGTGTTTAATGAGGTGGAAACGTCACAACATACAGGTGTATATATATATATACATATGTATACACTATAATATTATATGACACATATATTACATGTGTCAACATGTTGTGTAGCATGTTTAAACATGATTCAACATGGTTAAGGGATATGAATCCCTGGTCACATAGCACTTCCGGATACGGCCTTAGAGCTCACCCTCCCAAAGACGCAAAAGCCCGCCTCAAAAAAAATCCTGGGTTCCCCTGACCAGACCCACTTGACCAGCTGCCCGCGTTGCAATCTGTCGGCTAGAGTCTAGCTGCTGGTTGCCTTTCTTGTGACTGAGGCAAAGGATTCGCAGAATCGATCAGTTTGAGGCAACTTTGATCACCCTGGAGCTGTCAAAACCCCTCCTTAACCACCAAACCGCCAAACCACCAAACCACCAATCCAAACCACCAACTAGGGGGAAGCTGATTAATGTTGACCCCACAATAATCAACCCCAGGCTGTCCCAGACCGAGAGGCGCAGTGACAGCCGTTTCTCGTTTCTTCCCCCAACAGCTGAAGCTTTTGGGCCTCTGCCCGGAAGCTCCTCGCTTGTTTTCGTGCATGACTGCACTGTCACCATGCTTGATTTGATATGATTTGATTAAAGAGCGCGCAACTCATATTTCATTTACGTACGTGTGTATGCATATGCAAAGTGCCCAACATATGCACTCAAAAAATCTGATTACACCCCACAGCCCGTGCGCGCCAGCGTGGTTGAACATAGGACAGTCATCCGCCGAGTCACCACTTCGAGCAGCTCGGGCCAGCCTGTCAGCTGGCTTTGGTTGCCCTGACCACGTTGGTTCCAACACAGACTCTGTTCTGACAATCAATTTGAGGGTCTGGGGAAAAAGAACAAAACAAACACAGGTGCGTCCAACGTTTCTATCCTTTCTTTGTGGGAAATTGACACGAATGGGCTGGCCGCCAGTTGGACAAATTCACCTTTGATCGTCAGACTTCCGATTCCAGGGCTCCCTTAGG